TCTATAGAAATCTGTCCACTCTGTACTCTTTCCTTCACAACCAGGAATTTAATGTCAATATGTTTTGATTTAGATGAGCTCCTGTTGTTGTTAGAATATAGAACTGCTGAGTTGTTGTCACAATACAACTTTAGTGGTCTTTCTATGCCATTCAGAATGCGCAGCCCGGTGACAAAATTTCGCAGCCATATTCCATGATTAGTTGCCTCATAGCATGCTACAAACTCTGCTGCCATGGTAGAAGAAGCTATGAGTGTCTGCTTGGTACTTTTCCAGGAAATAGCTCCTCCAGCTAGCAGAAAAATATAACCTGATGTGGATCTTCTACTATCTTGGCATCCAGCAAAATCAGAATCGGAGTACCCTATGATCTCTAACTGATCTGATATGCTATATGTGAGCATATAATCCTTTGTTCTCTTTAGATACCTCATAACCCTTTTGGCTGCCTTCCAATGATCCATCCCAGGGTTGCTTAAATATCTGCCTAGCATTCCAACAATAAATGCTATGTCTAGGAGTGTACATACTTGAGCATACATTAGACTCCCAATAGCCGATGCATAGGGAATCTTCTGCATTTCCTTAGCTTCAAGGTCATTTTGTGGGCACTGTTTGAGACTAAATTTGTCTCTCTTAGCGACAGGGGTGTCACTTGGTTTACAGTCTTGCATGCCAAACCTCTTAAGTACTTTATCGATATAGCTCTTTCGTGACAGTCCAAGAATACCTCGAGAACGATCCCGATGTATCTGAATCCCTAATACAAAAGAGGCGTCACCAAGATCTTTCATCTCAAAATTCTTTGATAAAAATCTCTTGGTTTCGTGCAACATGCCTATATCGTTATTGGCAAACAGTATGTCATCAACATACAAAACCAGGAAAATATGCTTACTCCCACTAAACTTATGATACACACAATCATCAACGACATTTACCTCAAAACCAAATGAGATAATGACCTGATGAAATTTGTGATACCATTGACGGGAAGCTTGCTTGAGCCCATAGATGAATTTTTTTAATTTGCAAACCATTTTCTTCGAGTCTCCTAACACAAAGTTTTCTGGTTGCACCATATAAATTGTCTCATCAATGTCGCCATTGAGAAACGCCGTCTTGACATCCATCTGATGTAACTCAAGGTCAAAGTACGCAACAAGTGCCATAATTGTCCTTAAAGAGTCTTTCGTTGAAACTGGAGAGAAAGTCTCTTTAAAGTCAATACCTTCCTTTTGGGTAAAGCCTTTAGCCACAAGACGAGCCTTATATCTTTCCACATTACCATTTGAATCCCTCTTGGTTTTAAAAATCCATTTACAACCAATGGGCTTCACACCTTCAGGTAATGGGACAAGATCCCAAACT